AAAAAGAAAATGAGAAATTACAAAAAACCAAACACTGCAAGGCCACTGTATTATACATTTGTGTAACTGAAATAGCGATGGTACAATTATGAAGATTATAATGATACCATAAACACTTGCCGTATGTCTTATATACATAAACTAGAATGTTATTTTACGGTGCATCACAGCAATCGACGGATTTCTGTTTCTATGAAACGGGAAGATAGATTGGACCAGGCATAGAAACATGATTTTATATTATTTGTAACGAACCTCTTATATATTATATTTGAAAGTACACGATATTTATAAATACGCCCAGCCTATTCATATGCCGAATAATATATTGGCAATTTACTGATTAGCAAATACATCTTAATGTAGAAAACAGCAACCTTGTATCGGTGGTGTGTATTAGTTCGCTGCAGCAGCCATGTGTCTCTTCAAGTACAGCAGTTGCGATTTCGATTCCAATGATGACAATTGCGACACGTATGGAGCCATTTGCTGAACGTGATTCTGGTAATTTGTTCCTGGAAAAAATTCAACAAATTGCATAACATTCGAGGCATCGATCATTATGAAAAAATGCAGAAATATGCATACCCATGTTGACTCTCTTTTGACCATACATGACCTTCCCGTCGAAAGCATTTAGGGGAACCTTTATGTCAGTATCGATCTGCTGGATCGTGACATTCAGATGGTCCTCGATATCAGCTAAATACTAAGAGAGAATATACAAATTTTAATAAACGTTAGGGGAGAGATTTTAGACACAGAAGTATAGTCGCTCACAGTCTGTTCATTGTACCAGACGCAACAACCGCTCTGATCAGTGAGAGATGTGTTTTGACAATTTCTTCCTCGAGTAGGACACCACTCGCCATGGTACCATACTTTCTCAGGAACTTTGCTGACCAGAGAAATAGCCAGACCCATTCTTTCGGCCCTTCCAACCCTTCCTATACGGTGCACGTAATTCGATTTCTCATCGGGTAAGGTCATGTTGATCACTACAAAAGAATTTACGGGTTTAATCATCATTCCCAGCTGTAACCCGCTTTTTGAAGGATGGAACAACGAGAAGAAAATTGTGGATACGAACTGAAAGGTAAGCCCGTTATATCCAGTCCTCTGGCTGCGACGTCGGTGCAAATTAGGAACTTCACCTCCTGTTTCTTGAACTTCTCCAGATTGGCTTTACGTTCCGGAGGTTTCCTATCGCCATGAAGACACACGCAGGAGAATTGGTTCCCACCAGTCTGCTTCAAGTATCGTTCCAGGTTATCGCAGTCTATCTTGGTTCTACAGAAAATTATGGCTCTGTCCATATTGTGTTCTTTGATGGCACGAATGCAATACTCTCCCTTCATTATCTTCACAGCCTCCGATAATGTCTCTGTAAATAATTTTTATTGTAGATTCCTGAACACGAACAAGAAATTCAAATATTCTTTGGCTTAGACTTTACCTGGAGTGTTGCCACCAGGTCTTATGTTGTCTCTAGCGTGAACACCATCAGTTGGTATGTGTTGTCTCAAATTGTGCCAGAACGTGTCTTTTTGTGGGTCCACTATTACCACAACGTGATGCACCGTCTCAGGTACCGCATCCTCGCCCTTCAAATCCACCCAAGTCGGGAAATGCATCAATCTTCCAGCCATATTTTTTACATCGAACGAATGCAACGTGGCTGAACACACTATCATCTGCAGTCGTTTCCCATCGGATGTAATTTTAGGCATTTGCTTGTGTAGACGATCGATTAGGCTGGTGTAACCCTGCTTCAGCAAACCATCGGCTTCATCCAGAATGAAAAACCTGAAAATGAATGAAATCTAATGTTAACTAAGTACCTGTTTATTTAATTGTAACGTCACTTAACGATGTCACTTAACGAGAACTTAACAAATTAAGTTCTTATTGTACATTATAATTTAATCGATACTTTTATATCCCATGTCGTTAATATGACATACATTTTGAAACAACTAAATAGTTCAATTCCTTATTAGAAAACCCCGTACTAATCGATGCGTTTACGATACTACTTGACGGTATGTGTAGGTAAGCATAGAATATCGGAGCTCAGTCATTAGCTGATACCTGCAATGAGTGAGCGACAAGTAGCCGCCTTGTATCAAATCTTCTAGACGCCCTGGTGTTCCAACTACTATATCCACGCCAGAATTCAATACAGATATCTGCTCTTTCACGCTGACTCCACCAATAACTAATAATTCCTTGATTATAGGATCTTTCAGATGTTTCTTGAACTAAAATTAAAGTAGTATTTAATACATATATTTGGGAATATACTATTTATTATTACTTAGTGCCGACATACTTTTTGAATTTGATTAAAGGTTTGTTCAGCAAGTTCTCTAGACGGCTCTATGATTATGGCTTGAGGAGCATTACACTTTGGTTTACCATCATCCTTGCTTCTAGCACTGCTGTTGTTCATTGGGTTTTCTTTTATAAATTCTTTGACCGCAGAAGCAAGAGCTATGTAATCACCAGGAGGTGGATGTTTGAATGGCTGTGCTCCAAAATTAAACGACATTTCCGCGTTCTTTAATACAACGGCTGGGTAAAATGTCTGGGACTTTTGTTGCGCGTTTAAAATGAACGCTGTACCTAGATTTACGCCGTTCTTTGCGTAACTGATTTCACCCTTTAATAAATCTAGGTAACATCCAATCACATCGTGCATGCCAAAAGCCTCGCCATAATCACTAAACTGTTTTGCATTGGATTTCTTACCAGTCCCACCGAAACCAAAGCCATTCTTGTCTGTACCTAAATCCAAGGTAGCCTGAAAATACATCAGTCGTTAGAGTCAATCTCTCCACCGATAGAATTAGATATTACTGTATGCGATTTAATACTCACCTGAGACGTAGACCAGCCAACACGGCACAAACCTTCGTCGGTTACCGTAGCTTCAAAAAAGAACTTCTTATTCCCCTGAACTCCTTTATTGGCCCGACAACCATGCCATTCCTTTTGTTCTCGGCTTTGACATCTTAGACCATCTGGAGTTACAGCCAATGCTGTGCCTCTATCGAATAAACTTAGAGACCAATGTTTTGCTACAAATAATTAACAAATAAATGTTTTGGTAGATGTCGTTGATGTGAAAAACTACATACAAGGTTGCGAGTGTGATGTCGACGAAGCAGTTGCTTTCCCAGATTCAAAGTCTTTCAGAGTTTCCCATACTATTTGTAAAACAGGTAAACAAAAGGCACCAGTCTTTCCACTACCAGTTTCTGCAGCCATTAACACGTCGCCACCACCCAGAATCAAAGGTATCGCTTCGGCTTGCACGTCTGTTGGCAATCTATAATTTAAATGACCAGACAAATTAAATACATACCCTATCTATATTTTGATATAATTGTTTTATAATATTCAGAGCAATACTTACGTCCATTCCATTTCGTC